GTGCATTTCTCTTGTATTTTGTTGCGTATATTCTAGTGGATCAGCTGGTGTTGGTTTTGGTTATTAGGTTGGTGTCTTACCTACTGTGTATGGTGCTAGTAAATGAATTGGCAAACTTCCTGATGCCAACATAGTTAGGATCGGATTGTTTTGTTACAATACTTTATGCACCCTCACTCTTTATTGATGATTGTCTTTGTATTATTGCTTGATCATTATCAACAGTGTCTTTTAATTTGGCTGTTTAAAAAAATATATTAGAAAATTAAAGTATCCAATAGTAAAAATAGAAAGGATTAATTACTAAATAAACCCCAAGTTTCATATGTTTTTCACTTTAAACCTCAATATTTTTCACTTTAAACCCCTATGTTGCCTTACACTGATGGATGGATAGATAGAGGAAATTGAAATACAGATAGAACTGCAATGTTTAATTTATTGAAATTGAAATGCTTGGGTTTAAAATAAAAAACGCGTAAAATCTTGAATTTTTTTTTTTGTAATTAAATCTAAATTTTTACCAATATTTTACTTTTTAATTCTATTTAGATTATTAGATATTAGATTTTCACGTAAAAGTATAACTTAAATATAAAATATGAAGAATTTTCAAAATCTTTAATCATCAAAACTGACAAAATATGAAAAATTAAAAATTAAAAAACAGATTTAATAAATAAAACTAACGAAAGTGGTTCTTATTTAAAATTTTGATATCATACCTTAGTTATTAAAGTATCACATAAAATTACAGTTTATAAAATATAATTTAAATAAAAAGAAATTGTATGAAGATATCTAGTAAAATTTTGATATACAGTACAAATCTCTATTTTAAAAATGCATGCGCTTTCGTCTATCTAGATTAAAACAAATGCATACAATTTTAAGATTCTACCAAAATTATTCACAGTTATTTGATTTATGATGGACAATTGTAATTATTATGTCTATCAGTATATAAGCAGACACAGGAAATAAAAAAAATATTATTATTTTTTTGTTCTTCAATCATCATTAATATAGAAAATATATAGGGAGACGACTTTTTTTTTTTTTGGATAAGAAAGGGAGCCGGTTGTTTATATTTATAGAAGCAAATATATCGTTTTTGAGTATTCAATTTCAAAAATAAAGAGATAGTTGGGAACATGCAATTTTAGTAATTTTTTGATTTTTTATAAAAAGATGTGATAAAAAGTAGAGAAAGTGATGTGACAATTTATAGTAACTTTTTGACTAAACTAAAATATGTAATTGCTAAACAAGATCTAATAGATTTGAAGGGATAAAATTAGAATTTAAAAAAAGTAAAAATACGACCCTCTTCACACTATTATAATAATAGTAGATAGTAGATAGATATAGATATAGATGATGCAATCCATGTAATGATAGGAGAAATGAATTTTGTTAGTAGATTGTATCTGGATTATAAACTAAGGTAAGAATTTAATAGAAAAGTTAAAATAGTGAAAAAATTATATGACAGGAGAAATGAATTTTGTTAGTCTAATTAATTCTTTAAGATTGTATCTGGATTATAAACTAAAGTAAGAATTTAATAGAAAAGTTAAAATAGTGAAAAAATTATAATTCTTTTTTCTTTCTATTTATTATTATTATTTTTTAAATTTCTATCCAAATCAATGATAAAAATACATAGAAAGAGACACACGATAACAAAGATGTTCCTATTGGTCTAATCCAAGCTAGTCCATTTTTTAATTAAAAAATGTAGAGACCCAAAAAAATTATTAAATTTTTTATTAAATCTATTAATAATTTTTTTTGACGTCTCTTGCATTACTCTTTCCTATTACAATACTCAAATATGTACTTGCAATCGATAGTTGAGATCAAGTTGATGATCATCTGGATGATCAAAGGCTACTGAGAATTTGTGATTTGCCAAATTTAGATTTCCTTTTTAAATTTGGACAACTTTCAATGCGACTTTGTCATGAGGGTTTGGGTGAGGTAGGGGTTATTGTAGTCACAAAAAAAAGATAAAATAAGCTTTTAAATTCAATAAGACAAAATGTCACATTCAAACTGTACCGGGAGCAAATATTCCGCAGAACCCGTACTCTTTTCTACCAAGCTCCTTGTCCGTCCGATCGACTTGCGAAAACAACGGCGGTGAGTTACCCGGCGGTGTGTGGCCGGAAAACCCCTCTGACGGTCAAGTTAGCACACACTCAGGGATAGAGAGAGAGAGGAGAGACTTGAATGTATAGATTTATCTCACCAAATTATGTTCCATCCCCCGCATGGGGGGCGCCGTCAAGCTTATATACTTTCTGTGCTTATATCTGTTCTCATTAGTCCCTTGACACGTGGAGCTGCTCTCCCATCTGTCAGCACAAATCTCGCAATCACCACTTAACCAAACCGCCAGACAACATTAACGGGATCTCGGCAGATCGGCGGAATCACCTCGGCCTTCCACGTCCGTACTGTGTAACGTGCCCGAGTGCTCTAATCGCCGAGCTCGGTAGCATTCCGGCATAACCGAGTTTAAGATAAACCGAGCCGGCGAACAGAAGACTTTACCACCGAGCTAACCATGCTCCCCCAAAACCTGTGTAGCAGATGCTCATCTCGGCCCAGCAAGTCCAATCCCGGGGGAGCTTGGTCAATCACATGGCCGCGGACCTCAGGCCTAGGCCTCGATCGAGCAAGATCACCTCAAGGGAAGCCCTAGTTAGCTCGGCCTAGATAGGGGCTGGGTCTCGACCGAGCAAATCCCACTCCACATCAAGCCTAAGTGATCTCGGCCCAAACATGCTCGGGCTTGACCTGTTCGACCTCTTTCACGGTCCAGAGCCAGATTATAAATCTCCCTCTCACAAACTATAATCATTTCATTTTTTCTTTCACAAAAGTCAAAAAAAATCAAAAAAACTTATTCCAACAAAACTTTTTAGTCTTAGACTAAAATAGTGAAAAAATTAAAAAACCAACATACATTCTAAACGAACCCTCAAATAATTTTTACTTATGGTGGTAATTTATTTATTTATTGATCTATTATATTTATGTTAAGAATGATTGGGATGAGAGATATCACTCGACAATGTTAATACCTTCTTGACATGTAATAACTTTTCAATAAAATGACTATATAAATTAATAAAATTTGTCATCTTTAAAATTTATAATATGTACAATAATAAAATTTTAGAATCTCTGACTTCGAAATTTATTTCCAGAGAAATTTTAAATTTTGTGTTCTGTGCATGTGTGTGATGGGTTTGTGATAGCCGTGTGTGTGTTGTGTGTTTTGTGGTGTGTAACGTGTATCCATCTTCCTGTGTCTGCAGATAAGAAATCAACCCTCCTCAATTGGAGCAAAAAAATTCTTTTTTTCTATTAACCTTCCACTAAGTCATTCACCTCTGAAAAAGCCTCAAAATCCCCTTTCAAGCACTGGGTTTTGCTTGCTCATACCTCAGGACCACAAACTCAAAAACGATTCACAACGTTTCGACAAAGACAACAATAACGATGAAGCAAGGTCTCGAAACAGAGCTGCCATTGAAGCTTTTGCTGCGAAGCTCTTCGCCACCATTTCAGTTGTCAAAGCCGCTTACGCGGAGCTACAAATGGCTCAGTTTCCTTACAACTGCGAAGCGATTCAGTCTGCTGATGAAGCTGTGGTGTACGAATTGAAATCTTTGTCTGAGTTGAAACAGAGCTTCTTGAAGAAACAGCTCGGTTCTTCGCCCCCTCATGTGACTATGTTGCTTGCAGAGATTCAAGAGCAATAGAGTCTCATGAAGATGTTCGACATTACGATGAACAAAGTGAGGTCCGAATTAGATACCAAAGACAAATTTCTCTGATATATATTTAGGGACCTTAGACATCAAAAAGTAATTTTGTGGATCTCTTCCATTATGAAAAGTGGGAGAGGGACCCTAGACTAATTTTCCCAAAATAAAAATATACTGAGATTTTGTTTACTAAATATTAGTTTTTTTATTATTTATTTTTTTTGGAACTAAAATCTCAGTTGTTGACTTATAATAAATTGTAGGAAAATTTATTCATAAACCCCATATGGGGAAATATTAATCTATTTAATCCTATGAGTTTTTTTATGAACCAATTAGTCATTTTTATTTTGAAAAATTGTATTTATTTGATCTGGTGCTATTTGAGTTTAAGTAAATTTTTTATGATTCATTTTTCCAATTTTCTAATTTGTTTTTGAGAAGAAAATGGAAAGACGAGATATAAAATATTCTTTTTGGAGGGATAGATGGCTAAAGTATTTGTTGTCAGTGTTGAAATCTCCATTTATGTTAGTGTGATTTTCTAGTATTACATTGGAGTGTTACTTTTAGAAAAAAGTATAGTGAAGTTTTTGTGTGTTACATTGATTGGAGTGTTATGTTTGAAAAAATAAATTAAGAATTATTTTTTGAAATGTTACGTTGTTACGTTTGGAAAAAGTATACTAGTTTCTTAGTGTGTTATATTAGAACGTTACGTTTGAAAAAAGTACACTAATAATTTTTTTTAGAATGTTACGTGATTTCATTTGAAAAAAGTACACTAAAGAGTTTCTTTATATGTTACATTAGAGTGTTATGTTTAGAAAAAGTATACTAAAGAGTTTTTTAGTATGTTATATTGATTGGAGAGTTACATTTAAGAAAAGTACACTAAGAATTTTTTTAAAACGTTACGTTGTTACATTTGAAAAAAGTACACAAAGGAATATTTTTGAAGTGTTATGTTTAGTAATTTTAACATTATAAGAAAACTCACATTTATTTTTCAACACATAACGCACGCACGTTTATACTTGACACTGTATATAATTCACACTAGAAAGGAATTTTAGGTCTTAAAAAAAAAAAAATTCAAACAATTTATAAAATCATTATTTGTGATTTGTTGATACTTTCCCCTAAATTGCATTAAACAATCCGATACTCATTGATAAAAGTTTATTAATTTGTATTTTACCATTCTTTTTAATTTCCCATTTACAAACTCTGATTTTGTTTTTATTTTTTTTTATTTTATAGATATCTTCTCTCTCTTATAAATAGGGGAAGAGAGCACGCATGGTTTCGATTGATATATGATGATTTGTTTTGTTTCATGTATTTTCTTTCTCTCTAACTTCTTCTGGTAAGCAAAGCCCATTTCAAAATCTCATGATTCATCTCTTCCCCTCTGATTTCTTTCTCTCTTCTCCCCCATTTTTTTTTAGCATATCTCGCTTTTTATATTTGGTGTGTGCATTGCAATCTATCGGTTACGATTCTGTTTTTGTTTTTTTGCTTGATTCAATCGTTTTTTTCTGAATTTTTCTCTACTGGGTTTTGTGGGTTTGTTGTTATTGTTGTTTTTTTTTTCTTCTCTGATAATGAGATCGGTTTGTTTTCTTTGCTTTGAAGGGACAGTGTTTGATTGTAATCTGTGACTGTGTAAAGACATGGGTAGGCTTTTCTTGATCACTCTTGAAGGGAACTTCTATAGCTGCAAACACTGCCAAACCCATTTCGCTCTATCCGAGGACATCCTTTCTAAGGTTCCCATCTCTCAATCTTTGTGTATCTACTCTCTAACTGTGATTTTTGTGTGGATGATTATTGGGTTCTTCTGGATGGGGGGATTAAGAGCAAACCCATTATATTAAAGCAAATGGAAATTGGAACTTAAATTCAGAAACCCTGTTTAGGGTTTGTACTTGTTTGCAGGATAAGGGAATTTAGTTGCAATTTCATGTTCCATTTAATTGAATTCTGTTACATTGTTTTGGCATTTGGGTATGGCATTCTGTTGATGTTTCTAGATTTGTATGAACAAGAGTTTATGCATTTGGTTTTAGTGCTGCTTACTTGTTGCTAAAATTTGGTTTCTTTGTTTATTAATGAGTTTATTTTTTTGGTAATGCATGTCTAGAGATTCATCTTTTGTACATCTCAGGCTTATGCCCTTATTCTTTACTGTATAACTATTTTGTATGGGGGAGTCATTCGTGTTGTTTCATTATGTCAAATTCTCTTTGTTCATTTTGAAGAAACTGTGATGTACAACAAAGAGAAAGAAGAAGAGAAAATGGGGAACCAATCCCAAAATGAATTGTTTAATACTCAATAATAGTCTACCCTAAAACATTACACGATGCCACATATATAGGCATAAACACTATCTAGTTAGGAAACTAGGAATGGGGTCCAAGGAATTGGAATTTGCTAATAAAGAAATAAAATCTTATTAAACCATAATTCTGTATTATTACTAAAGTTCATATATTTTTCTATTTATTGTCATCCAATGCCTTTTTGATCCTTATCAAACTGTCATTAGTATTGCTGCTTGACTCTTTCATGTGCAACATAATTAAATGTGTTGTTTGCCTGATTCATTAGTTTGAGATAATCGTTGGTTAGAGAATACACAGTGTCATCAGTATGTTATTTTCTTCCCTTGGGGAAGTACTTTTTTGTTAAATAAATTTATGGTTAAACTTTAGCTTCATGTTATCTTAATTTGATTTTTGTTCACTCTACAATTGTTTTTTGTAGGTTTAGAACTTTAGATCGTATAGGAATTAAGTAATTAAGTTTGATCTGGCATGTCTCAATAGGATTAAGTTTTACACGGCGGTTTCATGAACTTGTGCTTTACGGACACCCAACACTCTGTTGACACATTACTAAAATTTAAATAATTGTGGGACAATATATTTAAAGTCCCATCTAGTTTTAACCATGGTTTTGACCATCTCTTCCAAACTACTCTCACCTTTTTGCACCCTCCTCCGCCATTGGCCCCTTCACCACTTGCAGATTTGTTGCCACAAACACTGTCCACCATGAACGTACCCGCCCATCATGGTCATCACCCATCACACATCAAATCTACCACTAATGTCATTAATACACACCACCATCAGACCTCTTTGATCGTCTCCCTCTTTTCTTCTTTTCAAATTCTCTCTCTGGTAGCTACCCCTTATTTGAAATGGAGACAATTTATTGCGGAGGTCCTTAATTCTATAGACACAAATTTGGTTATGCAGTTGTTTTTGGGTAGAGGATGTTAAAGCTTGCCTAATGGTGGTTGGTTGTGTGTGAGAGTGTCTGGCCATGTGGGTGTGGGTGTGGGTGTGGGTGTGGGTGTGGGACGGGTGGTGAACGATGTTTTTTTGCATGCATGTAAACAAAGAATATGGAACTTTCAAATCAAGGAGGTAAGGGAGAAGAAGGTGGGCCCCACTAATATGTAAGGGTCGAATTATCTTTTTAAAATAAAATCTAACATGATATAATTGATGTGGGGCCAAACGAATGGTTTAATCATAACTATGGTTAAGTCAAATTAGGTTATTATATAAACTACTTTACTTGTTTTGCAATTTTTGCTGATGTGTAAGGCAATTATTGGTTGTCCATAAAGCACAACTTTTACGAGACGACCATGTTAAACTTAATCTCGTCTCAATAGTTATTACAAGGCTGGTGATGGGACTAATTAATTGCATTTGAAGTTTCAAATTTACTCTTTGAGACGTAATTATTTTTAGCATTTTCTTGAACCTTTGGAATTTTCATCAAATGATTTATAAAATACGTGAATGATGTTTTCTAAAATCCTTAGTTATTCATACATTGTACAGCATAGTGTCATGAAACTGTTCTAATTTTGTTCCGAAAGCAAAATTTAGTAAATCTATCCGTATGGCGTCTACAATTACGTGATGGTGGTATCACTTCCAGCTTCCATGGGCATCCTCTTTTAGTTTTATGATGACTTCAATCCTTTGGTGTTTGGCACTAAAGATTCTTAGAGACTAATGCTAACCTAGTTACTTCATATGAGATCTCCGAAACATACTTTCTTCTTCATTTCTTATACCCACTCTCTCTTTCCTTATCTCTCTCCACATCTTATTTTGAATTTGTTATCCATTGTGGTTAAGGGTCCATTCCTACAATGACATCCCCTTGTAGCTATTGTTTTAGTGCCTTTTATTAGTCTTTTGAAATTTTAAAAAAGGGCTTTTTTCTAATCAATGCACCCCATCTATAGAATCAAGAAAACAATCACTCTATCTATCCTTACTATTTTTTGACTTGGTAAGTTTTACTGTGTAAGAGGGGTTAACCTGAACCCATTAAATTAATTGGGTCCAATCGGAGCCCAATCGGAATGCCCAAAAATTCATGGGTCTAGAGAAATTATTGCCAAATGGGCCCAAGCGAATTCTATTGAATGGGCCCACAAGAAAGTTAACAAATTGATCCGAGAAAGACTCATCGGGCTTATATCTCTAGAGAAAGTCCAACAAACCCATCCGAGGAGGCCCAGATTATATGAGCATTCGAGAAGGTTGATCGTTGCTTTCAAAAAAGATGAAACCTTCGGAGGAAATTCATTCTTTGAGATATTTGCTTAGTCTCAAAAGGGCTCGGAACCACGAGCTTAGAGATTTATTTGAGCTTAGACTTGAAAGAATTCGGATCCACGAACCTAAAGATCTGATGCATTTGGCTTTTAACGGATTCGATCGCAATCTAAAAGTCGCTTCGTTAATGAGTTCTAGAACATTTGCGGGTTCAGAGTTTTTTAGGATTGACGCATCAGAACCATGGGTGTGACAGAGTCCAAACAAAGGACCCGATCCCGAGGACGGTGAGTGGAGATAAATTCACTCTTTAGTTAAACAAGCCTATACTCGGGTCGAGGTGACATGATCTAGGGGGTCCCTGAGACTCGACAATATTTGCGGTAGGACGTTCTCTTAAACTACCCCTGACCCTTCTGCGGCTGGGCATCCTCTGGGACTACCCCTGACCCTTTGGGATGATTGGGGATCATTGGTTAGGCGTGGTTAAGAAGAAGGGTTCACCAAGAGGTTGATCTCCTCTTCGGGATTTTTCTCATCTTCAGAGAGGTTACCTCCTCAAACAAAGTGGTTAGTGAGAATATTTCCCATGTGCCTTGTACATGAGTTCCATCCTACATCATGAGGTGTCTATAAATAGCACCCATCTATAGCTTCACAAGGGATAGATTTTGAAGAGAGAACTAATTTTCTTTTTCCATTATCTACCTTGAGAGTAAAAGTGGGAGATCCTTTGGAGAGCTTTGCCATTATCCTGTCGCTAGCCTCTTTGCCTTCTTCTTCATCCAATCTTTTATGTCCATCATCTGTTTGCTATTGTGTTTCTAATTGTGACCGTTGAAGAATCTAAGCCTCTTATCATTTCTAGAGAATTCGGGGTTTTTCTGCAATCTTCGAATTTTCTGGCAAGCCTTAGAATTTTTCAACTACATTCTTGAACCCTCACATACATACTGTTATTTAGGCTCCACTTTAGTTGTTCCCTTTTTTCATTTTTTTTTAATTTTTAATTATTTATTTTGTAAGTTTCCAGCCGCAAGACCATACTCCCCTTGGAACCTAAAAAAATTGATTTCTCACAAGCTGCTAGTGCCCAACAAAGTCCTAAATGAAAGCAACATTTGTTGATCCTTAATTAGAATCATTTATGGTTGCAACTAGGACAATATTTGATTGTCTTTGAGTTCGCCATTATTTCTTTTGGCCACTTGTTCTTGTTCTTGTTCTGTCATATTTCAAAGACATTGATGTTTTTTTCTTGGATCGTTACTGAGGAATTTGTTATGGTAGAATGACAAAGAACATGTGGGGAGTCTATGTCTTCATAAGCCATTTCATCTTTTAAAACTTGCCTTGCAGATTCCGAGTTCAGTTGGTTTTATTTGTAAGGCAGTATGGTTATTTAGAGATTACACTGATTAATTTGTTGATGTAATGGATTGGATTATGCGTCGTGTTCTCAGTAATTTTTTTTTAGATGTTGCATCAAACAAGCCCCTAATCTTGGATTGAAGTCCTTTTCCCTAGGGCCTGGTCATCTTCTTCTTGAAAATATTTGCCTTTCTCGCGTAGATTTTAGTGATTCTTTCACTCATATGTTGTGTGTGTAGTGGAAGACAGTGTTGATTAGGGCTAGGAGCGCATAAGGTAATGAAGATGCTTCAAATCATGGGAGAAGGACAAGACACACCTTCTGCAATGATACTAGGAGAAACAGTAGGTCTTTCTGGCTGGACATTTATAGATTTGATGAGTTGGCTGGGGAGTTAGGATGCTTGATCCAAATGTCCAATGGAAGAGACTTTAAGCCTCAGAGCTAGCTCAAGGTGATAATTCTTTAGAGAGTTGGCATTTGTTATGTGGTGATTTGGCTGCTTTGGTCTGTTATCTACTGGATTGGTTGGAAGCCCACTATTGCATTTATACCTGACCTTGAGTAGGAGTGCAATGGCTGCTATTTAGTTTATATGCTTGTTGGCTTTGGTTGTATTGTTGGGCTTGGTTGGCTCTCATCTCCTCTTCGGGAGGAAACAAAAAAGGGAAGCAAAAAATAGTTTAAATTTACATGCTTTGGCAAATTGGAGAAAAGGAAAAAAGTTGGCTTTTAATTCATGAGTGTGAAACAATGATGATTATTAGAAATATTTAATCAGATTATAGTGTCTTCTCTGTTCTACTTGTTTTAACTGAAACTTGGGGGACCTATTTAGAATTTTCCACATTTGCTATGAGCTTGGTGTCCTATTTATGTCTGTTAGTATTTACTGTAAATTGACAGGCGCATATCCTAACCTAGTGTTTTGCCTGTGTTTCCAGTCTTTCCACTGCAGGCATGGGAGGGCTTATCTCTTCGATAAGGTGTAAGTGTTCTTTGATTTTAGTGCTCCTTGTTAAATTAGTAACCATTTAACTCATAGATTGTGTGTAATTAGGACACCTTCATGCATCTTGATGACTAATTATTTGTGTGCTTACAGTTAAAGCTATCACTGCATGTAGGCATATTTAGAGACTAATATCATAGTTATATGTGTCTCTACATATTGTACTTCTTCGATGTTGCTTCAATTTTAGTCAACTGATTATTTTGGTATGAGAGGCAACAAATCTTTCTGGTCTTTCAAACAAGCATTCGGTGCTCAATGATATGCGCATAGTTTCATTTAGCCCAATTCATTACCTGGTACAGTTGCCCGAATTCTGATCTCAATCACCACATATAAAATGGCAAAAGTGGTAATTGCAAAGTTATTATGTAAGGTGTTTTACCATTCACTTGGAAACTCCTGTCTGATTTATTCTCCAAGTAAGCTAGCTATGTAGCAAGGATATGGGTACGGGGGTCACGGCAAAACCTTCATAAAAATGGATATGAGTACAGCCAGGGTAGGTTTAGTAAAAAAATATACTTTATAATTTGAAGTAGTGCACTATATGTACAATTAAAAACCAAATGCAAAAATTAAATAAATGACTAGTTCATTAACTATCCAAAATATCAAAAGCAAGGTTCAAATAAGATTTTAATGTCTTAGAGAACCTACAAACCTAAACTTAATTTTAAAAGCATGTTGAGCATAAAAGGAAGTCCCATCAAGCAAACTTCGTCTCTGAACAAAAGGGTACCCTATTTTGGTACTCGTATCCTTTCAAAACAAGATTGCAGTTGGAACCTGTTGTACCCTCACAAATCAAAAACAAATTTAAAAGAAAATGGATACTACATCTTTTTCGAAGTACCCATACTTCAGAGTAGCGCACACATTAGTGACATAGTTACTAAGCAATGGCCAATCACATGCTTTTCTTATGTGTATTCATGCTGTGTTGGTAACCTTGATAGCATGCAGACCTGGCAGGCTCATTCCTGATTCATGCCATATGTAATTTTCACATCCGAACATGCTTCAAATGACATTGCACTTCCTCAATGTCTGACAGTGTGAATGTCACTGTTGGAGTCAAAGAAGAGCGGATGATGATGACCGGAATGCATACTGTTGTTGACATATTCTGCGTTGGATGTGGCTCAATCGTGGGGTGGAAATATGTAAGATGGCTTGCATTTGTTGGTGTTTTTTTTTTTTTTTTGGCTTTTTTAGTTTGGCTTATTTTTGTCTTTGATTATTATTATTATTTTTTAGATTATGTCAAGTTTCTTTACATTTTAGATCTATCTCCACTGGACAATCCTAAAAATCTTCAATTTTTTATTATTTGTAAAATTTGACTTTTTTTTAAATTTTTTTTAATCTTTTAGTGAACCTTTTCAAAATTGATTCAGTTTTTTAAAAAAATTTAAAATTGTCTAGTCGAGATGGACCTAAATTTAACAATTATTTAAAAAATTTGACACAATTGAAACTTGACCGGAAAGGCAAAAATAAGTTAAAAAAAAAAAGTTGGCCATCAAGTTTTAGCCAAAGGAATTAGTCTCTCGGTTCTCTTTATTGGAAATTTTGTTTACATATCTTTATTTTTTGCGAACTCTAGGAGGCTGCTCATGAGAAGAGCCAAAAGTACAAAGAAGGAAAGTTTATTCTCGAGAGGTAGTGAAATATTATTGTTTACAATGTCGGCATTACAATTTTTGTCAAGAAAATTGAAATATAAATCTATGGTTGTGCAGGTTTAAGATCTTGGGTCCAGATGGAAGCAACTATATAATAAGTCCCGATGCTCAGATTGGTGGAAGCGACGCTGACGACTAAGCCTCCCTGCAGCTCGTTTTCTTTCTCCATTTTAGGGTCAACCAAATTCAGATTAAGAGTTGATCAACTGTTTTCTAACTGTACATTCTCTTCATCTTCATCTTATGTTTTTGGGTGAATATCTTGATCTTATGTTACCCAGCTTGTTTCAGATTTTATTTTGGTATAGTTGTTGCTAGAGACCAGTTTGGCATAACTGGTATTAGAATGATTAATCACATCCCAGAATTCTGGTGGAATTTTATATAGTGATTTTTATATTTTTCCTAATTATTCTTATCCATATATAGTGATTTTTATATTTTTCCTAATTATTCTTGTCCATTTTAAAACAAGTGGATTTACATGTGCAAATCTATTAATAATTGTTTTTCACTTTCACAAGGAAAAAAAAAAAAAAAAGATCTCTGCATATTTTGTGAGAAACAAATATTTGAATTTAGAAGCTTCATAGGGTTTTTCACTTTCTAATACTTTTTGGGATTAATTTTTTTTAATCTCTCTCTCTCTCTCTTCTATTTCCTGCGTTTTTCATTATCTTGCTCATCAAAGGGATACTCTAATTTATTGGGTGAGGAGAGGGAAAGACATTTCCATCAATTTTGAATCATATAAATTGTTTTGTTATTGAATTTCTAGGGTTTATGACTCAGTGTCAGTAATGGTAGTCACGTGATGCATATGTGGGATGATATAGTTTTACTTTTCTATTTTAAAGCATCTGTAACGGTTCATTAAATTTTTCACTAAATTTGAGTAAAAAAAGATCATTTTCTCAATCTGATACAGACTGTTTCAATGGTTGTCATCAAAGCAGGGGTCGACCGGTTAGTGTATTTTTTTTTTTAACCTCTTTGAACCTTTTGACCTGTTTGAACTAACTTATTTGCAAGAGAACCAGTCGACTGGTTGGTCAATCGGTTGGTTGACCGGTTGGTCTCCCCCAACGGTCACGCACAGTAAATTGGTGAAATTTTCCCCCTGTTCTCACTTTGATGAAAAATTTGGTGAATTCTTGTTTTGATACCAATGTGATGAAACCATTGGAGCTGCAAAAAGTGACTTTTTCACCAAATTTTAAATCTGATGCAAGGTTTGGTGAAGCGTTGGAGATGGTCTTACAGCTTCACTTAAATTTTATTTTAATTCGTAATATTTTAATTTAAATAATTAAAATAATTAATTAGAATTAAAGTATAAGGATTAAACAGTTTTAATTTGAAAGAATAGAGACAAAAGTAAAATTTGAATCAAATTAAGGAGGTTAACGTTGTGTTTGGTTAGAAGATTTTGGAAGTGATTTGGAAATGGAAAGCGAAAGGGAAAGGGAAAGGGAAAGGGAAAAGGTGTGTGAAACTAGGTGAAATGTAGGTATATTTTATTCACATTTCACTTACATTTTTTATTTCTTTCCAAATGCTTCCTCAAATATCTCAACTAAACACAATATAAGTGTAATTTTTTTTTTTTAAGACAAAGATAGTGTTAGTATGCCGCTAGTTATCGATTACAATGCATATATCTTTTCATAAACTAGAACCTGAAATCCCACCCTGGTATTATATTTAGAATAAATTATCAATAGATCCTAATTATTGAATTTAATTCACATCAAATCCTATTAGAAATAAGTTTTAATAAAATCGTCGCTAAAAAAAATTTGTTGCGAAGATTTTTTACATGGCGTTAAAAATTACAATTAGTGATTTTTTGCCACGATTTTTTTAAATTGCCTCTAAAATTTATAATTAGTAACATTTTTATGCAACGAATTTTTTAAATTGTTGTTAAAAGTTAAAAATTAGTGATATTTTTTTATGATGGTTTTTAAATTGTCGTTAAAATTTATAATTAGTGATATTTTTTGTGATAATTTTTTTAAATTATCACTAAAAATTAACAATTAGTAATTTTTTTAATAATATTTGATAAAACATATCACTAATTATTATAAGATCTATTGAATAATAAGTTTACTTATTAAAATTTATACGTAGGTCTCTCTAATATTTAAATATCCTCTCCATCATCACTTGAGCTAAGATCCAGGTTATTTACCCTATATATTTTTATTTAGGGTCTGATTTTGGTCCAGTCTACCATCGGATTAGACCATGTTGTTGGACCTGTGGAGGCCCATCACGGGTCTTGTTTTAAAAATCTGAACCGTTAATGTGTAGAACTCTTCGAGTACTATATGTTCATAAAAAATCACGTTGATCAGATATCAATAGCTATATGATCAAATCAGTTTTGTATAAAAAAAATAGACAGTGAATAAATTAATGGTTGACAAAAAACTCATTTGATCACATAGTTATCGATATCCGATCAACTTGATTTTTTACAGGCATATAGTACTCGAAAAGTTCTACATATTAAACGGTTCAAATTTTTAAAACGGGACCCGTGATGAGCCTCCACAGGTCCAACAGCATGGTCTAGTCCGATGATGGACTAAACCAAAGCCCGACCCTTTTATTTATATATATTTTTTAAATGAATGGTGAATGATAAAATGTAGAGGATGATGGCTTATTTTGGGAAGATGGTAAAAAGTGGCTTTTTGACTTTTAACTAAGCTTTTGGCTTTTTTAGACAAATGATTTGGGAAGTTGGTAAAAAGTGACTTTTGACTTTTTTTATTAATATTTATTTATGATGTCAAATCATAATAAAATGACTAAACTACCTCTATTTATTTAAAATATTTACAAATTCACCTATGTAACACATTTTTGCCCATGAGGGGTAAAATTGTAATTTTACCGTTGGCTAAAAACCAACTTTACAAATGAAAAAAAAGCCAAAAAAGTCAACTTTTGACTTTTACTACTAACCAAAAAAAGTGACTAAAAATTATGTTGCCAAAATAAGCCGATATACACAACATCCAACTGTGGGGCCCAGTAGATAAAGCCATGTGAGGAAATAAACAGAGAGAGAGGCTGGCTCTGGATCTCATGGGGCCTACCCGCAACGCTTTATTAACCAATCTGAGCTGGTCCCCTTTGCAAAATTAACACCCAATCATATTTTATTTTATTTTTTAAAAAAAAAGAAAATGTTAAACAACAGTTTAATCAGCAGCAATTAATTAATGTGTAAAAAAAAATTATAAAAAACATATCAAATATGTATTATAGTTTTATTTTTTTAATATTTCTAATTATTGGTAAGACATTAGGATATGGTTTAATGGTCTAGTAGCTATATCTTAGGATGTAGTGAGTGGGAGATTAAGAGTTCGAGTTAATGGAGCAGCAGTAAACTCTTCAGTTGTAATCTAATTATACTAACATACTAACATTATCTTTAAAAAAAAAAAAAAAAATCATTGTAAAAGCTTAATTAAAAAACTAAAATCGAGGCAATTGACTGATGGTCACTCTCTCACTCACTCGATTAATAAAATTAAATTATGTTGGAGTTTTGGTGCACCAACTCAACTCTACTGATATTGGGGGTTGTTAATACAAGGCCTCCAAATCAAACTAGCTTTATTCAAATTAATTCGTGCAATTTGAAAAGGTGAGTGGGCTGGGATGGGTTAACTGATAAAGAGGTGGCAAGTTAATTGATCAGCAGGTTAAAATTTAGGATGGTAATTTCTTCAAGTTTAAAATTCAAATTTGACTGTCATGTTTGTACCTGTAAAGTTTATTGTGGGTCTTGTATGATGATTCGAATTATTCATTTCATTTGGTTTTCGTCATTCTTGACAAAAAAAAATTAGTTACTTTAATAATCATAACATTTTTAATTTATCATATTTGTCTAAAAAAAATGAATAGTCTATTTTTAAAAATATAGTTGTCGTTTATTTTTTCGTAGACAAATGCAATAAAATGAAAATATTATGATTATCGGATAGATTTAATTTTTTTCCATAAATGATATATATTACAAAATGAACAATTTAAATTATCAAAACGGGACTCGTGATGAGCGTTACGGTCCCTAATGTGACGATTAAGTTTAGATTTCAAACTTGAGTGAAGCCTTTTTAAAAATTTATTAATTTTTTTATAAATTAAGCATATGTAAAAAATTTCTTCCCAACCCCATCATGACTAATCGAATGATACCCGCTCTTCATTTTTATTGCATATATTTTCCTAATTTGATTGTCCTATATATTAATTTGTGAAATATAATTTTGAATAGCATAAATTTAATTTATTTCATGGGTTTTATATTTTTTTTGAAATTACAAAAATAGGAAAAGGAAAAGCCTTCATAAAGTCACGTCAATATGTGCATGCTGTCGTATTGGAAGACATTAATGTCGTGTTTTTTGAATCTTAAAAAAAATTAGTGACGCAACCTCTACCAATTAGTGTATATATTAGTGTACTAATTAGTGTTATAATATTATTAATAATTTTATTTATTACACAAATTATAAATACCTAAAACTTCTAAAATTATACTACATAATCTGTTGGTACACTAATATGTATACTAATAAGTGCATATAACATTATTTTTTAAAAAAAATAAAGAAGAGTTGATCTCATTATCATAATTTGTTCAATTTATAATGTTTGTCATAAAAAAAAATTTTCTTTTCAGTGATTACCATCTATTTAAAAAAAATAAATACGATAAATTAAATATGTTATGATTATTAAATTAAGTTAAATTTTTTTATAAACAATAATGCCCAATTTTTGAAATCTGTCGGTGGAATACATGGCCATGTTTGTTTGGACGGATTGGATTAGCATTCCTATGACTAAATTAATAATTTTATTTATTACACAAATTATAAATACCTAAAACTTCTAAAATTATACTACATAATCTGTTGGTACACTAATATATATACTAATAAGTGCATATAACATTATTTTTTAAAAAAAATAAAGAAGAGTTGATCTCATTATCATAATTTGTTCAATTTATAATGTTTGTCATAAAAAAAAAATTTCTTTTCAGTGATTACCATCTATTTTAAAAAAAATAAATACGATAAATTAAATATGTTACGATTATTAAATTAAGTTAAATTTTTTTATAAACAATAATGCCCAATTTTTGAAATCTGTCGGTGGAATACATGTAGCGTTCAGGAATTTTTGTTCTATTTATGCCCTTTTATTTTATTTGTGAGAATATAATGTTGTTAATGCTTGTATTTACATCACATAATTATCTCATTACATTCTCTTTTTTCTTATTATTTTGTAATTTTGTCACTATCTAAATTTATTAAAAAAGACTAACCTTAAAATATTAAAACCTTAA